CAAACCAAGACCCAAGTTCCAAACCTGACTACCGAATACCAAATATCAGTACTCGGGACTCGGGACTATTGGCTGGAGTACCCAACTATTGATTCCCAGGTACCGAGAATTAGAACCAAGTACCAAGTACCTGACTACTGATTCTCGGGTACCAAGTATCAGAACCAAGTACCAAGTACCCGACTACTGATTTGAAGTACCGGGTTTCGGGTTTCGGCACTCGACACTTGGTGATTTGTGCAATGAGTAGATGGGCATGTGGCATACATGTTTTTGGGCTTCGGGTTTTAGGATTCTGCCCTTGGCACTCAATGATCTGTGTAATGTAAATGAACAATGAACATGTTGCACACCGGGTTTCGAGTTTCGGGTTTCGGCACTTGAAACTCGGTGATTTGTGCAACAAGTGAAAAATGGAAATGTTGCATACATATTTTCAGGTCTCGGGGTTCGGGTTTCGGCCCTTGGCACTCGGAACTCAATGAATTGTGTAATGTACATGAAAAATGGACATGTTGCACACTGGGTTTCAAGTTTCACGCTTTGGCACTCGAAACTCGGTGATTTGTGCAGTGAGTGAAAAATGGACATGTTGTGTACATATTTTCAGGTCTCAGGCTTTGGGTCTCAGCCCTCGGCACTCAGAACTCGATGATTTGTGTGATATAAATGAAAAATCAACATGTTGCACACTGGGTTTCAAGTTTCACGCTTTGGCAGAACTCGAAGTTGTTGATTTAGATATCACCCGAAACCTGAACACCCGAATGTCAAATTTTCAGTGCCGAACCCCCAACCCTGACTGCCGGGTGCCGAGTCCCGAAGTCCGGAACTCAGGATTTGACATTTGAGATGAACGAAATTTTTCAGACATGTTTGAATTAATCTACATATATCTATAAACATTTCACTAACCCCTGAACCCTGAAAGATATTTTTGTTGTCTTACATACCAAATTCCGAGTTCCGAGTTCCAGGACCCCCGGACCCCCGAAACCCGGCAGTCCACAATTTCGGAGTTCAGGGGTTGGTAAAATGTGTATGGATATATGAAGGGTTGGTTTAAACATTTTAAAAGATGTCTCATATCAAATGTCAAGTCCCAAGTTTCGATTTCCGGGTTTCAAGAGTGCTGAGTCCCGAAGCCCAGAGTCCTGAAACCTGGAGTCCTGAAACCCGGAAATCAAAACTCGGGACTTGACATTTGATATGAGACATCTTTCAGAAATGTTTCAATCAACCTTTCATATATCCATGCACATTTTACCAACCCCTGAACCCCGAAATTGTGGACTGCCAGGTCTCGGGGTTCGGGGGTCCCGGAACTCGGAACTCGGTGTAGAGAATCATGCCTCTCATGGCGTGATATGGTAGTTTTCACCAAGGAGTATACAGCACGAACTCATAGCATTACTCTGTGCGCTACCCGCAGCTATCTCTATATGACGCGCAGCTTTCCCGCGCAACGCGCGCCATGCGCGCACCATTCCCGCGCTTCGCGATGTATACGCGCGCGCGCGTTCCCGCGCTTGCGCGCCCTATGGCGCCAGCCATCCAGAAGCATCCATCCACTGTCCACCAAGCTCCCTAGTATGTATATTTCCATTTCCTTTATTAGCATAGTTCCACCTTTATTTTTATCCTAGTTTCTCACTCATATATATTTTTACATACCTACTCGGTAGCGCTTCGGCTCCGCATGAGCGCGCTTAGGCGCGCTATATAAGCGCCAGCAGTACATACTACACGGGACCTACTTTTCCTACTTTTCACTTACTAGTTACTACCCACTTACTACTTAGCAGAATATAGTAGAAAGCTATTCCTTTACATTTTGCACTCTTATATCTCTTATCTTGCTTTATATCACTACTTAAGCTTAGTTTCTCATTTCCGCATACGCGCGCGCACTTTCCCGCGCTTCGCGCTAATACGCGCGCGCGTTCCCGCGCCTTTGTACCTTGCGCGCTCCTGCGCTTTCTCGCGCTTCGCTTAAGCGCACACATCTAGATCCTTGCTGCACTCACTTCCCCTATAGGGTCGAACGCACTTGCTTCTCAAGTAACGCAGACTAGGCAGCGCGCGACCTTACAACTTTTACAGATACAGTCAGGAGCTTCTTTTGTTCCTCATTGTATTGTTGTTTCTACATCGGGAAATTTGGGGAGATCAATAAAATTTGATTTACCCATGTTTAAAATATATTTTTGTTCTACATACCGAGTTCCGAGTTCCGGACCCCCGAACCCCGAGACCCGGCAGTCTCAGGTTTCGGGGTTCGGGGGTCCCGGCACTCGGAACTTGGGGAGATTTGGGGAGATCAATAAAATTTGATTTACAATTGAGTTGATTGGTAAACACATTGACTTACCCATGTTTGAAATATATTTTTGTTTACACATACTGAGTTCCGAGTTCCGGGTTCCGGACCTCCGAACCCTGAAACCCGAGACCCGGCAGTCCACAATTCTGGGGTTCGGGGGTTGGTAAAATGTGTATGAATATATGAAAGGTTGAATGAAACATTTTTGAAAGATATCTCATATCAAATGTCAAATCCTGAGTTTCAACTTCCGGATTTCGGGAGTGCCGAGTCCCGAAACCTGGAGTCTTGAAACCCGAAATTCGAAACTCGGGACTTAACATTTGATATGAGACATCTTTCAAAAATGTTTCATTCAACCTTTCATATATTCATACACATTTTGCCAACCCCTGAACCCCAGAATTGTGGACTGCTGGGTCTCGGGTTTTGGGGTTGGGGGGTCCAGAACTCAGAACTCGGTATGTGTAAACAAAAATATATTTCAAACATGGGTAAGTCAATGTGTTTGTCAATCAACTCAATTGTAAATCAAATTGTATTGATCTCCCCAAATTTCCCCCGAGTTCCGAGTTCCGGACACCTGATACCCGAGACTCAAATTGTATTGATCTCCCCAAATTTTCCCAAGTTCCGAGTTCCAGACACCCGACACCCAAAACCCGGCAGTCTCGGGTATTGGGTGTCCGGAACTCGGAACTCGGGGGAAATTTGGGGAGATCAATACAATTTAATTTACAATCGAGTTAATTGACAACACATTGACTTAATCATGTTTGCAATATATCTTTGTTTAGACATACCGAGTTCCGAGTTCCGGACACCCGATACCCGAGACCCGAGACTGCCGGGTTTCGGGTGTCGGGTGTCCGGAACTCGGAACTTGGGAAAGTTTGGGGAGATCAATACAATTTGATTCACAATCAAGTTGATTGACAAACACATTGACTTAACTATGTTTGCAATATATTTTTGTTTAGACATACCGAGTTCCGGACACCTGATACCCGAGACCCGGCAGTCTCAGGTTTTGGGGTCCGGGGGTCCGGAACTCGGAACTCGGTATGTCTAAACAAAAATATATTGCAAACATAGTTAAGTCAATGTGTTTGTCAATCAACTTGATTGTGAATCAAATTGTATTGATCTCCCCAAACTTTCCCAAGTTCCGAGTTCCAGACACCCGACACCCGAAACCCGGCAGTCTCGGGTTTCGGGGTTCGGGTGTCCGGAACTCGGAACTCGGTATGTCTAAACAAAAATATATTGCAAACATGGGTAAGTCAATGTGTTGTCAATCAACTCGATTGTAAATTAAATTGTATTGATCTCCCCAAATTCTCCCAAGTTCCGAGTTCCGGACACCCGATACCTGAGACCCGGCAGTCTCGGGTTTCGGGTTTTGGGGTTCGGGGGTTGGTACATCTCGGTTTGGGGTTTGGCACTGAAAATTTGACATATATATTTTTGTGAGTGTTGTGCTTCTGGTGTCCATGCTTAGAAATAGGATTTGTTGCACACCAGGGTTCAGGTGTGGGGTTTTTCCACTTCAGTCCTGGATTATTGGTCAATGCCACACATGATCGATTCATGTTTTTGTGCTTAGGGGTTTAGATTTGGTGGTTGATGGTAGGTATATGCACTCATAGTGTACATGTATCCTATGTGTTTGATTCGCTGGTGGCTACATCAGCTGTATGTCTTGATGGAACATATCTAGGCTCACCCATATATGTAATACACCCCTGTCGGCCCGCCCATCTATGTATTATCCCCCACGTCAGCCAACCCATCTATGTAATACATCCTATGTTGGCCCACCCGTCTATATAATACATCCTACATCGGCCCACCCGTCTATATAATTATACCCCACCTCGGCCCACCTGTCTATGTAATAAATATTTTATCGCACCCTCGGCCCACTGGTCTATTTGATATCCCTTTCGTCGGCCCACCTGTATATGTAATACATTCCACGTCGGCCCACCTGTATATGTAATACACCCTACGTCAGCCCACCTGTCTATGTAATATTTCCCTACCTCGGCCCACCCATATATGTAATACACCCACGTCGGCCCGCCTGTCTATATAACAATATTTGCCTTACATCTCTCTTCAGCCCAGCTGTCTATAATATCCTACTCTACATATTACCCAGATGGGCCCACCCATCTCCATGAATGATCATATTCCCCCGGCCCATCCGTCAACATTAAGGATATATATATCATTGGCATACATGGGCCCACCCGTCTCCATCAGAAATAATATGTGTCCCGGCCCATCCGTCATCATCGAGAATATACACAACATGGGCCCATGATCAGCTGGCCCGTCTCATACGGGATATTATGGAGGTCGGGTGGCCCGTATAATATGGAATTTGTCACTGAAGGGGCTCATTGTTCTCAGCGTGCAGAGAGACAATCTGGCTGGAAACAGGCTTGCACGGTTCCGGCCCTGAGTGTTTTTCGTTATGATCCCGGACAAATCTTGACTTCCTACCCTAACCCATGAGAATGAAACCACCAGCAACACCGGCTTTGAGTTCACGGACCTCAGCACCAGGTTTGTTGATATCGAAGGAACGGATGAGACTGAGATCAAAAAGCACAGTCGCGGACAGGGATAGGTAGACGCTTTGCAATGACAGCGTCGATGTTGTATTTCGGTTGCATAACAGAACGATGAGTGATGACCGTGCCTGTTACGAGAATTGAAACAACATTGGATGATCCATGCGCCACCGAAGACCCACCCTTAATAAATACAACAATTGCTCAAGAGCCTGATCAAGTCGACCTTGTTCTGCAAAATATGGATGCTTCCCAGCTTCATGATTTCAACCCTGGCAAAGTGCTCCGATGTCTGCGGCTGAGAACATGTTTCGTTTCCTGTGATTAGAAAAAGAGCAGCGTTCATGACAACATAGAAAAGAATGTGTGAAGACGAGATCATCTGCAAGACATAGCAGAAGTGGTGAGGCGCAATTTGGTGTACGGACCGACAGTAAACAAAGCAGTCAGGATAGTGAAGTCGACGAGAAACAAGGCTTGGGCGCTTCAGTTGCACAGCCTGTTAGAAGCTGTGAAGTGAACCCATCAAAATCCCAGGGCACTTTTGACTTCACATCGGGGTGAACGATATTTAAAAGAGGTTTATATGTTGTACAAAATGTGAGGACAATATTGAATATTTAAACTGACATAAAGATGGGTGCACGACTTCAAATTTTGGTGGTGTTTTGTGTGTCATCCAAAATATCAAATATTCACAACCATATTCCCACAGACAATATGTCAACAAATATAATAAATATAATCAGATTTTCCATGTCTGCTTCAATTTAAAGTTTGATTCTTACATAAAACTTTGGAGAAAACTTGAAGTTTTGCCAAAGCTTCACATTTAAATCGAGTTTTAATGTCATGTCATCTGTAAAGCTTCAAGTTTTCTCCAAAGTTTTACATGGAAATTGAACTTTAAGTTGAAGCAGACATGAAAAATCTGACTATATTTCTTATGTTTGTTGACATATTGTCTGTGGGAATATGGTTGTGAATATTTGATATTTTGGATTACACACAAAACACCACCAAAATTTGAAGTCGTGCACCCATCTTTATGTTAGTTTAAATATTAAATATTGTCTTCACATTTTGTACAACATATAAACCTCTTTTAAATATCGTTCACCCCGATGTGCTTGGCGCTCTTTGTGTCTTGGTATCAACACGTCGTGACTCGTGACCTGCTGAGGAACATATCGTTGTAACTTGTAAGGGATGATTTTGGACTTTACCGGATGAAAGCTGAAATGGAGCTCTGCCTAGATGTCTTCACCCATCGTTGGAAGACAGGAGATCTCGAGCATGAAGCCTCACCGGAATGTTGAGGGACACACCAAATGGGTCCACGGCGCCATACATCTACCAGGCAGAAAACAGATAATGACCTGTTCGTCAGATGGCTCGCTGCGAGTATGGAACTTGAAGAGTGGGAAACAGATAGGAGGCGACTGGCGAGATGGTGATAGTCCAGTGTGGACCATGGCGTTGTCTCCGGACAGGAAGAAAGTGATCAGCAGGAGTGAGGATGGCGGAGTGAGGTTGTGGGACATGGACACAGGCAAAATCATCGTGAAATGGATGGGGCATACAAGACCAGTGATTTCTGTCTGCTGGAGTGGAGACGGTGAGCGAGTCTTGAGCGGATCTGACGATGGGACTGCAAGACAATGGAATGTAGAGAGCGGAGAGACATACCTCGCACCAATCAAGACGACATGGCACCAACATGTGTTGGCAGTGGTCTACTCGCCAGACATGACCATGTTTGCAACTGGTGAAGCCAAACGAGCTCTCATCAAAATTTGGGATGCCAAGACAGGCGAGCCTGTTGCTACTCTTGAAGCAGCTGATTAGGTGTGGTGCCTGGCTTGGACTCAAGATGGAAAAACACTTATATCAGGGTCCCGCGATGGCTCGATTAGGACATGGAGTACTACAACTTGGAAACAGATCGCACTGTTGGATGGTCACACTGACCCTGTCGAATCCATTGCAATATCTCCGAATGGCCACATCCTTGCAAGCGCATCCTTTGACAAGACAGCACGATTATGGAACCTGGACAACAACCAGCCCATCGGTTCGCCCCTCCAGCATCCAGATTATGGGAGTTCTGTGTCGTTTTCAGCAGATGGAAAGCTACTAGCCACTGGCTGCTTCGACAATAATGCGTATACATGGGACGTTGGTGGGATACTAAAAGAAGCTGGCCTTAGCGAACTTCTGTTGGACATGCCGCCGGTCCTTGCTGTACGTGACACTTTTTATGATCAGGTCCTATCCCATCGCAATTGAACCTATTCCTTCTAGGCTGATGCTACACCACGTCCAGGCCGTCAGCCAATCATCGTCCCCCAGCACCGGGTGCCTCATGGTTTTTTTGATGACTTACCAGATTGGGCTCACGTACGTCATTAGTGTCTAATCCAGTACTGTTTTTCCTGACATGTTCTCAGCACGCATCACATGCAAGCACCCTTCGTGACCGGTTTTCCTCTTTATTCCATACCGGCGCCCATGATACATCTTCGCGACCCCATCCTTTCCACTGGGTTCGAAATTGTCTCTCTGGGAGATCAAGTGGTGAAGATATCCAGCTTCGCAAGCATCCCTCAGCAGTAGTCGATGTTCCCTATGCCAAGGGCAAACATGTATGTAGTCTTCCTCCTTCTTGAATATCCAAACCCCATCTCATACAGCACAGAGGAATGCATCAGCAAGAGAAAGACGGATGAAAATAATTCCATTGAAACCTGGGAACACTGCCGCAGGCCCCTCATGTCTTCCCAATAGCAATATCACACAACATTCTAATGGCGCTTCTCAAGCACAGTCGTCGCAAGCACAGGCTGCTGTCTCCACTGCCTCCACACCTCCCGTCGTCACTAACACAACACTAAACACCAAACCTCATGTAACAATAAGACACGCTGGACGCTGGACTCGTTTTTGGGTGTCTATGTGCTGTTCCTCCTCTGAGTATACTGACGGTCATCATTAATCTCCCCTTCGTCTTTCAAAGATATTCTTATAATTCTGTTGCGCTTCCACTGATCACGAGTATACCCATGATCATCAGCGATATATCCCATCCGTTTTCCTGTCCTTTATGAAGATCTCTTCCATCTCATTTCTCCAATACATGAAATGAAGACATAAAGTCGCTTATCGCACCCTTTACATACCACAGTCGATTCTATTTTTTGTCTTTGCCAACAAGCCTTCACCGATCAGGAAAGCGACTCTTCCCAATAAACATGTGTACTACTGAAATGAAAAACACTTGCATTTGCGTGCTTCAGAAATGATACATATGTAAATTCGCTCCGGTCACATCAAGTAGGTAATGAATCAGTTTACCGAGTGGACAGGAATACTTGCCTACAGGCTGTTAGTTAGGGGGCAGGAACAAACTGATTTCAAGCTCTAGATTTTCTTAGAACCCAAAACGAGGATGCTCATCAGTATACATCTTGGGAACTTCCCGACTGCACCTAGCACTTGGCGAATGAGACGATCCGCTCTGCACAGGTAGGATCAATCTTGGTCTGGATACCAATCAGCTCTCCTGGAACTGCAAGTGATTTTCTCGGCGTGCAGAGAGACAGTCCTGCTGGAAATGGGCCTGTATGCTCCCAGCCCTGAGTGTCCTTCGTGACAATACCCAGACAAATCTTGACTTCTTGCTCTAGTCCGTAGGAAATCTATAAGGACAGAATCACCGGCGACACCGCCTTTGAGCTCATCGACTTCTGCACCAGGCTTGTTGACGTCGAAGGAACGGACAAAGATGAGACAGGGATCAGAAGCAAAGTCATGGACTGAGAGAGATAGACGCTATATAATGTATTCGTTGACAGCGTCGATGTCGTATTTCACTTGCCAGTGTATGTCGAAATGACGAGTGACAACTCAACCACCATGCCTGTTACAAGAATTAGTACTACATTGGGTGACACATCCCACTGAGGACCTACCCGAATGCAACAATTGATTTTCGGTGCTCAATTGGAGACTGTTTGAGTCAACCTTGTGATGTTTTCCAGCTTCATGATTTCGACCGTGGCCAAGTGCTCCGATGTCTGAGGTCGATGGCATGTTTCGTTTCCTGCGATTACAAGAGCAGCATCTATGATTGGGCCTCCAACCATATTACCCTCCACACCTCTTTTGCATATTTTCGCAACATAAAGCTCATGTTCTTCCCAAATATGCAGGGCGACTTTGAGCTCAGCTCCTGCAGGCGGTAGCATCTCCAGTCTTGGGGCTGGGCAGCTCCTGGTCAAGATGCAATCTGCAGCTCTGAACCCGGTTGACTGCAAGATCAAGGACCCAGGTATGTTCGTGATTCATCACCTGTCGTTCTGGGAACGGATGATATTGTCGAGGAATTCTAGGGGAGGGTGTTGACGCACAATTATTTTCCTCGGGTTTACCCGTGTCTGCGCTTTTCACTAATGAATTAATGACATTTCAGCAGTATACCTTGACCAATGCAAGCTTTACAGCAAAGATAAGTTATGAGAGGATTCGTTGGTCATATCGTCAGCTACATTTCATTCCACATTCCTGCAAGCGAGTCCTTCAATAGCGCAGCTACTTTTCTGCACTTGTGGGCTTTTACGGAAATCAATCGGGAGCTGGGACAATACCTCCTTGGACGAAATGTGTCGATGGCCACGAATCAAAGACACCTATTGTCATTCTCGGCGGTTCTTGCTCTGAGAATTCATAAAGTAAGCGAAGCGAGACTTATTTCTTCTCCAACTGCATCCTAACGGTATTGCAGCTGTCCAACTCGCTCATCTCATCCTATCATCGCCACAGCCTTTCCAAGCAATGAAGAGCTTGTCAAGGACTACAGCGCAACTCATTTTTTTTATCACAACCTCTCTGGAAAACAACTGCTGACAGCCATCAGCAAAGTCACTGATGGCCCTGTCAAACTTCTATCTCGTTGCCAGAAACACAATCTGTTGCATGGAATTGCTTGCAAACAATGGCACACCCGTTTTAACCATTCCCACACCTTCGCAAGCCCACATACTTCCCAGGACGAGGACAGCTCCCGGGCTATGGTCGAAAAATGGCTCTCAGAGGGTACTATACAGGTTTGTTCTGCGACCACTGTTTTGGATTTATGGCTCACAAGTGATGTAGCTGAACAAGTTTGAAGCCCTCCCTATTGTAGTATTGTGTGAGGGCTGGAAACGATGAGATCGGGACAAGTGTCTGGAACAAAGTTGGTTGCTCACCCTCAGGAAACACGGTAAACGCGAGGCCGTCAGCTTATTCTGTACCCTATGCGCAAAATCAATGTAGGTCTTTGTCCTACAATACGTGTTTATCTACTCATCATATCCCAGAATATATACTACTAATATCTGAGGACGGAACATTTGATCCTGCACGAGCGATTCGCATCTATCACATGTGCGTGCACCACCTGAGCTCCATTCAAATGCTCCCTAGTACTATTCGTGTGCACTCGGCAGTCCTATTTGTGCATGTGTCTTCTGAGCTCCACAGCATTGCGATCACTCATTTCTCTCCCAAGTATGCAGACTCATGAAGATTTAAAATGGCTTGCCTTGCATCACCTTTGATTTCAATCCAGCGCGTTCAAGCTGGACTGTGAATCACAAACAGTTTCTCCTGCGACCTGCAACATTCGAGGGCTGTCAAGGGGGGCTGACACCTGAGAATATCATGCTTGACCTGCGCAGATTGGTTTGCACACGGACAGCTATACACCGCGCTTTCAGTAGTACAACAAGTCGTTGAGATATTTGAATGCTATTTCCGACAGAAGAGGAAAAGACAACAGCATACGGAACATCACATCCAAAGGTGAGCGGAACACTTGTATTGACGTATAAGCAGACCTGCACAGAAATCCCTTCAAAAAGACGAGCTGTGCAGCGGCAATCACATGTATTCCATAGTCTGCCCAAATCTGACAATCAAGACATGAACAACGCGGATATGTGATTGATATATTGAGCGCTGTGCAGACTGCAAATCAGAATGGTAAAAGCTATCTTAACTCTGGTCTGCATCGCGCAGATCGAAAAGAATACCGAGGACAGGATCATCTGCAAGACATAGCAAGGGTAGAGAGGCGGAATTTGGTGTATGGGATGATCGGGACCGACAGTAAACACGGGTATTAGGATAGTGTGGAAATCGATCAGAAACGAGGCTTGGGCGCTTCAGTTGCACAGCCTGCTAGAAGTTGTGCGGCGAACACGAGAATGTGCCAGTTCAAACTTCCAGCATTTTTGACCTAACACTCGTTGTGTCTTGATATCAACACATTGTTGTAAGTAATGGTTTTAAACTTTGTGAGATGAAAGCTGAAACGGAGCTCCGCCTAGATGTCTTCACCCATCGTTGGAAGACAGGAGACCTCGAGGATGATGCCTTGCCAGAAATTTGAGGGACACACCGATTTGGTCTACGGTGCCATACATCTACCAGGCAGACAGATAATGACTTGTTCATTTGACGGTTCGCTGCGGGTATGGAACTTGAAGAGTGGGAAACAGATAGGAGACGACTGGCAGGACGGAGACAGTCCGGTATGGACCATGGCATTATCTCTGGACGGGAAGAAGGTGGTCAGCGGGAGTACGGATGGCGGAGTGAGGTTGTGGGAGATGGATACAGGCAAAGTCATTGTGAAATGGATGGGGCATACAGAGGCAGTGATTTCTATCTACTGGAGTGGAGACAGTCAGCGAGTCTTGAGCGGATCTCACAATGGGACTGCAAGACAATGGAATGTAGAGAGTGGAGTCCGAGAGGCAAACCCCGCACCAATTGAGACAGGGCACGAATCCGTGCATGCAGTGGTTTACTCGCCAGACATGACCATGTTTGCAACTAGTGGATCCGGACGGCATACCATCAGAATCTGGGATGCCAAGACAGGTAAGCTTGTCCTTACTCTTGAAACTGAATTGGTGTGGTGCCTGGCTTGGACTCAGGATGGGAAAACCCTTATATCAGGGTCAGACGATAGTTCGATTAGGATATGGAGTACAACAACTTGGAAATAGATGGCAGTACTAGTGTTGGATGGGCACACTTGGGGTGTCGGATCCATTGCAATATCTCCGAATGGCCGCATCCTCGCAAGTGCATCCTGTGATGGCACAGCACGATTATGGAGCCTCAACAACAACCAGCCCGTCGGTTCGCCCCTTCAGCATCCAAATTGGGTGACTTCTGTGTCATTTTCGGCAGATGGAAAGCTACTAGCCACTGGCTGCGTCAACAATAATGCGTATACATGGGACGTTGGTGGGATACTAAAAGAAGCTGGCCTTAGCGAACTTCTGTTGGACAAGCCGGTCCTTGCTGTACGTGTCACTTTTTATGATCAGGTCTTATTTCCTGAGATCCTATCGCAATTCTTTTTAGGCTGACACTACACCACATCCAGTCTGTCAGCCAATCATCGTCCCCCAGCGCCGGGTTCCCCATGATTTTTTTGACGACATACCACATCAGGCTCACGTACGTCATTGACGTCTAGTCCAGTACTATTTTTCCTGACTTGCACGTCCTCAGCACGCATTGCATGCAAGCACCCTTCGTGACTGGTTTTTCTCTTTATTCCGCCCCATACACCCGGACACTGGCCACGACACGTCTTCACGACCCTGCCCTTTCCACTGGGTTCGAAGTCGTCTCTCTGGGAGACCAACAGGTGAAGATATCGAACTTAGCGAGCGTCCATCAGCAGTAGTCGATGTTCCGTATGCCAAGGGCAAACATGTATGTAGTCTTCCTCCTTCTTGAATATCCAAACCCCATCTCATTCAGCACAGAGGAATGCATCAGCAAGAGAAAGACAGATGAAAATAATTCCATTGAAACCTGGGAACCCTGCCGCAGGCCCCTCATGTCCTCCCAATAGCAATACCACACAACATTCTAATGGCGCTTCTCAAGCACAGGCTGCTGTCTCCACTGCCTCCGCACCTCCCGTCGTCACTAACACAACTCCAAACACCAATCCTCATGTAACAATAAGACACGCTGGACGCTGGACTCGTTTTTGGGTCTCTATATGCTGTCCCTCCTCTAAGTATACTGACAGTCATCATTAATCTACCCTTCGTCTTTCAAAGATCTTCTTTGTCATCTCTTATAATTCTGTTGCGCTTCCACTGATCACGAGTATACCCATGATCATCAACGATATATCCCGTCCGTTTTCCTGTCCTTTATCAAGATCTCTCCCATCTCATCTTTCCAATACATGAAATGAAGACATAGTTGTTTATCGTACCCTTTGCTACTCTATGTTTTGTCTTTGCCAATAAGCCTTCACTGATCAGGAAAGCGACTCTTCTCAATAAACATGTGTACTACTGAAATGATAAACACTCGCATTTGCGTGCTTCAGAAATGACACATGTGTAGATTGGCTCTGGTCACATCAAGTAGGTAACAAATAAGTCTACCGAGTGGACAGGAATACTCGCCTACAGGCCGTTAGTTAGGGAGAAGGAACAAACTGATTTCAAGTTCTAGATTTTCTTAGAACACAAAACGAAGATGCTCACCAGTATAAATCTTTGAGAACTTCCCGACTGCACCTAGCACTTGGCGAACGAGACGATCCGCTCTGCACAGGTAGGATCAATCTTGGTCCGGATACCAATCAGCTCTCCTGGAACTGCAAGTGATTTTCTCGGCGTGCAGAGAGACAGTCCTGCTGGAAATGGGCCTGTATGCTCCCAGCCCTGAGTGTCCTTCGTTACAATATCTGGACAAACCTTAACTTCTTGCCCTAGTCCGTAGGACATCTATGAGGACAGAGCCACCAGCAACACCACATTTGACCTCATCGATCTCTGCACCGTGCGTGTTGACGTCGAAGGAACGGACAACGGCGAGACGGTGATGGGAAGCAAAGTCGCGGACTGGGATAGATAGATGCTATATAATGTATTCGTTGACAGCGTGAATGTTGTATGTCGGTTGCGTATCGGAACGATGGCTAACGACTCGACCACCATGCCTATTAAAGAATTAGTACTACATTGGATGATCCATCCTACTGAGGACTTACACGAGTGCAACAATTGGTTTTTTGGCGCTCAATTGGAGATTGTTCTGAAGACAATGATGTTTTCCAGCTTCATGATTTCGACCGTCGGCAAGTGCTCCGATGTCTGCGGCCAAGGGCATGTTTCGTTTACTGTAATTAGAATAGCAGTATCCATGACGAGATCGAAAAGAATATGTGAGGACAAGATCATCTGCAAGACATAGCAAAGGTGGTGAGGCGCAATTTGGTGCATGGACCGACAATGAATATGGGAGTTAGGACGGTGAGGTTGACACAGCAGGGAAACTGACCTTTTGCCGCCAGTGAAATTACATTCTAAATGTAATCCAGAGTGCTCTGAAACGCTCTAGGCTATGTCTGGAATGGTCTAGCCAGGTCCAGATCTGCTTTTGATTGAAATGTTGCAAGAGGTAAAACGTCGAAACCCCCGATGTGTGATCAGAAACGAGGCCCGGGCGCTTCCATTGCACGGCCTGCCAAAAGCTGTGAGGCGAACACGAGGACGTCCCCAGTTTAACCTCCAGTGCACTGACGCTCATTGTGTCTTGCTGTCAACACGTCGTGACCTGCTGAGAAATATATATCGTTGTAAGTGGTGATTCCAAACTTTGTGGGATGAAAGCTGAAACGAAGCTCCGTCTAGATGTCTTCACCCATCACAATCATTGGAAGGGAGGAGACCTCGAAGATAATGCCTCACCAGAAATTTGAGGGACACACTGGCTCGGTCTTCGATGCCATACATCTACCAGGCAGACAACGGATAATGACTTGCTCAAGGGACGGCTCGCTGCGGGTATGGGACTTGAAGAATGGGAAACAGATAGGAGACGACTGGCGGGACGGAGACAGTCCAGTGTACACCATAGCATTGTCTCCGTACGGGAAGACAGTGGTCAGCGGGAGTGAGGATGGCGGAGTAAGGTTGTGGGACCTGGACACAGGCAAAGTGATCATGAGATGGATGGGGCATACAGAGGCAGTAAATTCTGTCTGCTGGAGTCGAGACGGTCGGCGGGTCTTGAGCGGATCTGACGATGGGACTGCAAGACGATGGGATGTAGAGAGCGGAGAGACAAACCTCGCACCAATCAACACAGGGCACAAATCTGTGTTGGCAGTCATCTATTCACCAGACATGACCATGTTTGCAACCAGTGTATCCGAAGATTCTGAACACTGGCATGCCAAAATTTGGGATGCCAAGACAGAGAAGCTTGTCGCCACTCTTGAAACAGCTGATTCGGTGTTATGCCTGGCCTGGACTTCAGATACAAAAACACTTATATCAGGGCCATTCGAGGGCTCGATTAGGACATGGAGTACTGCAACTTGGAAACAGATTGCAGTGTTGGACGGGCACACTGAAACTGTTGAATCCATTGCAATATCTCCGAACGGCCACATCCTCGCAAGCACATCACATGACGGCACAGCACAATTATGGAACCTGGACAACAACCAACCTATCGGTTCGCCACTCCAGCATCCATATCCACATTACGTGACTTCTGTGTCATTTTCGGCAGATGGAAAGCTACTAGCCACTGGCTGCCTCGATGAAAATGCGTATACATGGGATGTTTGTGGATTACTAGAAGAAGCTGGCCTTAGCGAACTTCTGTTACAGTTGCACAAGGCAGTCCCTGCTGTACAACGTCATGTAGCGTGACACTTTTATGATCAGGTCTTATTTGTTGAGATCCTATCCTATCGCAACTAAACCTATTCCTTCTCGGCTGATGCTACTTTATGCTGTTCCTCTTCTGAGTATACTGATGGTCATCGATTCATCATTAATCTACCCTGACTCTTTTTTTTGTCTTTCAAAGATCTCCTTTGTCATTTCTTATAATTTCGTTGCGCTTCTACTGATTATACCCATGATCATCAGTAATATATTCCGTCCATTTTCTCGTTAAATACATATATACATTGGCTCCAATCACATCAAGGAGGTGCCGAATCAGCCTACTAAGAGTTTTGTTTGAATAGCGGGAACGTGAACTGATATATATATATTCAGCTGCCATGAGCAATGCATCAGAATCAGACAGATAATCGTCATCAAGGTCATCATTGTTGGCAATCTCATCATCATTGTCGTCCAGCACAGCCGTGAGCCTCATGAGGAGTTGGGCTTGCCCTGCGAGATGTGCTTTGTTGATGCTTGATGGCGCATCTCGATGACGTTGCGATAAGCGGAGTCGAGACTTTTGGAATTCGAACCACCATACATATATATATATATATATATATATATATTGCTTCTCGTTCTTATCTTCCCTCAGCTTGTTCCATCACGCTGAGGGTAAGCCGTTTTACGTATATCCAAACCGCCGCTGGATACTGACTATAGCTTAGGCTTACGCAGTATCTAGGTATCTAATGTTACAGCTTATTCCATCACGCTGAGGGCTTACGCAGTATCTAGCTCTAACAGGTTATGAGCCCTGCTCTCTCGTAAATCGAGGAGTGGAACTACCTTCTAGATACACCAGCGGGCCCCAGGAACGACCTCGCCGGTTTAATTAAACCCCCGAGGGTCTTGTCAAACCTCCTATCAACGTCATCAAGACGTTTAATCTTTCTATCTTAGGTCGAGGAGATTCAATTGAGGTTGCCCACTGGTATATATACCTGCATATCACTCTTTACTCGTCTCCCACCTCTTGACATCATGCCTCCCACTATGCATACTCGTTCTCGCAGCTCAGGTGCAAAAGGCGCTGCTCTTAGTCCTCCCTCCGTCGTCGTACCTGTCGCGGCCATGACCCCTCTTCAAGCATCCGTCTCTGCTATCACGCTTAGTCAGACTGACCTAGATAAAATTGAAGTCCTGGATCGCAGCAAGAACAACTGGGGCACGTTGTAGGGATTCATTTCTGGTTGGGCTTGTAGAGACTGTTTTTACCTTATCTTATGTTGGCACTTTTGTAGCTTACATAATCAAGCAATCTTTTCACCAGTTACCAGTATGAGTCTGAGAGATCAGCAAGTTTTTATGATATTTCCTCTCCTCTGAGCCTTGAGTCTGGTCCAGAAACCCTTTAGGGTCGAATAGCAGCTAGGTTCTGCAAGACCCAACACATTGTTCAGACTCACCATCTGAATTGTTGTACCTTCAACGTGGTCTGATCTAATGCAGAATTACCTTCTCCTCAAGCACAGAGGAGGATACATCTTAGGTCTTGTTACTCGTCCAGATCCTTCCCTGGATCCTTCCAGCGCGGGGCACTGGGATCTTAACAACCTCTGCATTGTGGCCGCTTTACGCACACGCTCCAGCGCCGAGGAAAATGAGTTCCTATGAGGATACACTAACACTTACCTCGCCTGGGACGCTCTCAAGTCCCGTCATGAGAAGGTTGGTCCCATCGCACAAATCTTGCTCATTCAACAAGCCCTAGCAGTCAAATATGTTCGTTCTGAACGTCTGTCTACCACCAGCACGATCCTCGGCGACCTTGTCCGTCGCATCTACACCATCGGCATTCCCAAAGAGGAAGACTTTCTCACGATCATGATGCTCAACGCCATGGCTGAGGACCTGCCACACGTACGCAATCACATTGCGGACGCTTTAACCACCAGCACTGCCAACAACCCATACGGCCCTACCCATATCCGGTCCTGCCTAGACGTTGAGCAACAACTACTCGACACTGCTAAATCTAAGGGTGGGGACATCGCGATGGCTGCCACCGGTAAGGGGGGTCACAGTCGTGACAATCGCGAACGCTCACCTTGTGGCACCTGCGGCAACTCCAGCCACCCTACGAAGGATTGTTTTGGCAAAGGAGGAGCTATGGAGGGTAAAAGAGATGAAGTCCTAGCATGGAAGTGCGCTGCTCATGAGGCTAAGGCACCTGCAGGCAAGAGCACTGCTCCCAAGCCTATGACAGCCACCGGTAAACCGGGAGGCCTGCGATACGACACTAATGGTCGTGCTTACCTACTTGACAGCGAAAGCCATGAGGCCATATATGTTGCGTCGTCGTCTGCTGATTCACCCGACACACCCGTCACCTCCACAGAGTTCGCTGGCCTTGCCAGTGATGCCATCACCCCAGCATTCATCCGAGAGCTCTCTGACGCCAGAGAAGATGACTATACCACTCTCCTCGCGTCCATTGACACACTCACCTCCAGCCTTGACTGGTGCTCCAACACTCGCTCTGTGAATTTTGCTGGCATCACGTACAAGGCCCCCAACCAACGCAAACGCACTATAGTCGACCCTTCCGTGGTCCCCCTCTTCCTGGATAGTGGTGCTTCAGTCCACATCAGCAATGATGAGACTGATTTCTTCAACCTCCGCCCTATCATTCCTCGTTCCGTCAATGGTGTAGGTGGTTCATCCATTCAAGCCATTGGCGTTGGCACCCTTCGTCTGGTCGTCGCGAGGGGAATACACATCACGCTCGACAACGTGCTGTTCATCCCCACGGCAATGGTACATTTGATCTCGGTGTCTGCTCTCTGCGAAGCACACTGTTGCACCGCATCGTTCAATGCTACCAGCTGCTGGGTGCAGTCCCGAAACGGGAACCGCATGCTGTCAGGTACCCTCACCTCCCGTCGCCTCTACGCACTCTCTGGAGGACAGCTCTCTGCGGAGCACACCTACATGGCTCATCAGAAGCCCACCCTCGAATGCTGGCACCGTTGTCTCAGACACGCAAACTACCACACCATCTATGACCTTGCACGCTCCAGTAATGCAACCGGTATGCCCATTGATCTATCTCCTGTTCCTCCCAAGTGTGACCATTGTATCCTCGGCAAACAGATGAAAACTAGTGTTCCCAAGGCGAGTCAGGGGGTCAGAGCAAGCAGAAAGTTGGGTATCATACATGTGGACTTAATGGAACATCCCGATACTGTGTCTGCGGCCAGTAATAAATACATCATGGATATTATCGATGATCACTCTTCATACGCCTGGTCTATCCCCCTAGCATCTAAGTCTGACGCTTTTCCAGCGCTACAGGCTTGGGCACTCGCTCGTGAGGTCGAAACCAGCAGCAAAGTCAGTACATACCACTCTGATAACGGCAAGCTCAAATCAGAAGCCATGCGAGAGTGGCTCCTCTCACACGGTTCCCAACACCAATTCACCGTGCCATATACTTCGGTGCACAACGGCCGCGTGGAACGTCTGCATCGTACCTTGATGGGTAAGGCTCGTGCGATGAGATCCGCATGTAATGTCCCCGTCAACCGTTGGGACAAATTCGTTCTAACGGCTTGTTACTTATCAAATCGCACCCCAGTAATGTCGCAAGATGGTCACACTCCCTTCGAACGTTGGTACAGTCGCCCGCCTGATCTTTCTCATCTGCGTGAAGTAGGTTGTAGGGCCTTCGTCCTCATCCAAAACAAACACAACCCAAAGGTCTTAAGCCATTCCATCGAGTGTGTTCTAATCGGGTATTCACTTGACTCAAAAGCTTATCGGTGCTATCACCGAGCATCTCACAAAGTATTTGTATCTTACAATGTATCTTTCATAGAATCACATCAACTCGGCACTCCCACTCCGTCTGTCCCCACACCCTCTCCACCTTCCACTTGTTCGGTCACCATCGAGGACATTCCCGATATTGATTCCCCAATGTCCACCTATCACCGGCCGATACCATCTGCCTTGCTCCCTCCACCACGTCGTTCCACTCGTGCGACAGTACCCTCAGAGCGTCAATGTGCTATGGATGGTAAGCCTTATGTGTCTGTTACCCAGCGAGCTGTGCTGGAATCGCTCTCGGCTGCTGACTGCCTGAAGGCACTGTCACCCCCAATACCTACCAATCCAGACACTATGGTGACTGTCTTCACTGAGGAGGAGTTGTCATCTCTGGTCGACATTTTGGCTGCCATGCCGGACAACCTGGAACACGAATTCCCTGATGACCCGTCCACATATGCTGAAGCTATGGCTTCCGATCACGCCAAGGAATGGACCTCTGCCCTTAAGGATGAGTTCCACTCCCTGCATGATCTCGGCGTGTACAAGCTCGTACCACGGTCGTCTGTACCTCCCGGCAGGAAGATTATGCGTGGGCGGCCCGTTTTTAAGCTGAAACAGGATCAGCATGGCCAACCTGCCCATTTTAAGGCCAGGTACGTCTGTCATGGATACTCCGCCGTCTGGGGGCAGGACTACACAAAGACATCGGCACCTACTGCACGTCTCGAATCCTTTCACATTCTCGCGCACCTCAGCGCAGCCTTAGACTGGGAGATCGACCAGATCGATATCAAGACCACCTTTCTTCACGGGTTGCTTGCATCGGACGAAGTGTGCTACATGCACCAACCTGAAGGTTTCGTCGAACCTGGGAAGGAAGACTGGGTCTGGGAGCTTCAAAAGGGACTCTACGGTATGAAGCAAGGAGGTCTCGTGTGGAACCGAACGATGAACGATGCCATGATATCCTGGGGATTCACGCACTTGAAATGCGAACATTGCATCTACTACTGTAAGACTGACGCAGGCATTCTCCTCGTCGCAGTCCATGTCAACGACTTCCTCACTGTAGGCAGTAATAAATCGATCATCTCCGATTTCAAAGGGCAGCTCCGCACCAAGTGGGAAATATCCGACCTTGGCGACGCGAGATTCTGTCTAGGCATCGCCCTTGAACGCGATCGAATTAATCGCACCATCAGTCTCTCTCAAACAGCCCTTATCAATCAGATTGTCACCCAATTTGGCCTATCTACTGCTGTTCCCGTTTCAACCCCCATGGAAGCTGGTCTTCACTTATCACAGCGAACCCACGCTCCCTCATCAGATGAACAACGCGACCTTATGATGAGAACTCCTTACCACTCTCTCGTAGGCTCGCTCATGTATCTTGCAATAGGAACTCGTCCCGACATTGCTCATGCAGTGCAACAGCTGTGTCGTCATCTGGATTGCTATGGACCCATGCATTGGGAGGCTGCTAAACGTGTCGCACGTTACCTTAAGGGTACACGCACGTTTAAGCTGGTTCTTGGTGGCGAACACCCCGCACGTCTTCTCGGTTTCACTGACAGTGACTTCGCAAATTGTCCCGATACCCGATGTTCTGTCAACGGATACTGTTTCATGCTCGGTAGTGGAATGGTCACTTGGAGCGCATGCCAGCAGAAAACCGTCTCCCTATCCACATGCGAGGCTGAGTACGTGGCGGCATCTGATGCAGCTAAAGAGCTCACCTGGTTACGCACCCTCCTGCTCGAGTTGGGATTCACGCAGCCATCTGCAACACCTCTCTTATGCGATAACACGGGCGGAATCACCCTCTCCGAAGACGCTTCCTTCCACTCAAAGGTGAAACATATCGATATCGCTGTGCACTCCATTCGAGAACGCGTCTCCATTGAAGGCCAACTGAAACTATCCTACATCAAATCATTGAATAATGCGGCAGATATCTTCACAAAGGCACTACCGCAGAAGGATTTCGAATGCCTACGCGCCTGCTTGGGTCTACAGTGAGAAGTTGAGGAGGAGTGTTGATGCTTGATGGCGCATCTCGATGATGTCGTGATAAGCGGAGTCGAGACTTTTGGAATTCGAACCACCATACATATATATATATTGCTTCTCGTTCTTATCTTCCCTCAGCTTGTTCCATCACGCTGAGGGTAAGCCGTTTTACGTATATCCAAACCGCCGCTGGATACTGACTATAGCTTAGGCTTACGCAGTATCTAGGTATCTAATGTTACAGCTTGTTCCATCACGCTGAGGGCTTACGCAGTATCTAGCTCTAACATGCTTGAAGTTCAGCGCTGCAGCCTGTGTTGGTTACCATACTTGCCAGTCTTAAAGCTTAAAGCTTGAATTCACGCATTACATCGTAGCGGCATCGGCATGCTCTCGGCAGAGTTGTGGACCTTTTAAAAATGTCGAAGTTTGACAGGTAACAACGAAGTTTACGTAAAATACTCCCGTAATGGGAGTAGCCATGCACATCACACATCGGGGTGAACGATATTTAAAAGAGGTTTATATGTTGTACAAAATGTGAAGACAATATTTAATATTTAAACTAACATAAAGATGGGTGCACGACTTCAAATTTTGGTGGTGTTTTGTGTGTAATCCAAAATATCAAATATTCACAACCATATTCCCACAGACAATATGTCAACAAACATAAGAAATATAGTCAGATTTTTCATGTCTGCTTCAACTTAAAGTTCAATTTCCATGTAAAACTTTGGAGAAAACTTGAAGTTTTACAGATGACATGACATTAAAACTCGATTTAAATGTCAAGCTTTGGCAAAACTTCAAGTTTTCTCCAAAGTTTTATGTAAGAATCAAACTTTAAATTGAAGCAGACATGGAAAATCTGATTATATTTATTATATTTGTTGACATATTGTCTGTGGGAATATGGTTGTGAATATTTGATATTTTGGATGACACACAAAACACCACCAAAATTTGAAGTCGTGCACCCATCTTTATGTTAGTTTAAATATCAAATATTGTTTTCACATTTTGTACAACATATAAACCTCTTTTAAATATCGTTCACCCCGATGTGTCACTATTCTCGTTGCGGTGTGCTACCACATGGGTTTGTTTGATTGTTGATTCGAGTTCTACAGCCTTGTCACTCGTATCACAATCATCCCTTGATCCCTCTACTGAGCGATCCGTGTTGCAACACTTGGCGTATCTTAGCATGAAAATGCCAATGTGTAAACATCGTAACAGCCACCAGCTGTCAGTTGTGTGTGCTTAAATAGTTAACTTGCGCGTAACGAACAACGAGAGCGTTGATTTGCTTTCCACAAACTTGACGCATGATGGATCACCCTACTGCTTTGTTCGTCGACGCTGGCATCCAGGCATCTAAGGTGCGCAACGAATCGAGCTCTAAATAACTCTGATCAACCCTTACGCCCAGTACTTCAATGGTACGGATCATATCTGATGTTTTTACAGATGTCCTGGCTGACTGAATACTCAGTTGGAATGTTTGCTATTTTAGTGAGCGCATTAGCTGACTTGAGATATGTGATGCTGATGTCCTTACTTAGATTTTTGATTATTTCATTACCCTGGAGACAGAGGTGCGCGTAGTGCGCTGATTATTGAATTATTTGATGACTGTCCCAAAGTCAGAGTGGGTCTGGCACCGCAGATGGACTTTCGTGCGATTTGTGTTCACTGTATCACGATACTTGCCATTTTTCGGCATTGGGATGACATTCACAGGTGAGCTACACATGTTCTGACTCGCTTTTTGTGACAAGCCTCACGGCTGATGGATAGGTGCGCTTCGAACACAGTACTATCCTGGTGAAAGTGTAAGTGTTTACAGCCCTTCAATACCCTAATATTTATAACATTCGTGTAGTGTGTTAGATTTGGACAAGCGTCCACCGGTTAGCATGCACAGTCTACGTTACATTACATTTCTCATCCAACCCTTACGCAGTGTTGCATACCATCTGCATTCTAGCCGCAGAAGGTATGTCATGTCCTAAATGAGCTCCCGATATTGACATTTTACCTCTAGGCTTGCTCATAACGAGGGTTTACGCTTCCTGGAGGAGTAAGCGTCTACTGACATTTCTTATTGTTTTTCCCGTCGTATGTTTTTCGTTCACCTTTCACCGTGAAAGGCTTGGTGCTGAACCACTGCCAGATATGTTTTGTGGTCTCTTATATCATGTCGGACACTTCCTTGGTCTTCAATTCCAAAAACACGACCTCACTTGATATACGTTTGTGATGCAATCTTTGATTTTCGTGATAATCATACTCATGCAAGGTGGACAGCGAATCCGGGCAACTGTCTTTTCGTGGGCGGCAGAAACAACATTTGTGACTACGCTGTTCTGTTACTGTACGAACTGGGTCAGGCGTCTCGTCTTTCAAGAATGTTCTTAGGCTCATGCATAATTAGTCCTCTTTTGCTTGATGTTGTACATCAGATTCAGCAAGTACGGCAATGTCGTCGGACTACTCCAAAGAACGTTCTTCAACGACTCGGTGACATATATGATCTGCATGATCAGTAAGATGATTCTGTTCGCTCAAACTGGCCCGTGTGCTGACATCCTGCTATCAAGTCGTATCATCGTTTAACATAATTTTGACCATGGCTCCTCCGGTGCGTTGCAGTATACCTGGCCAGCTATCCATGCGCTTATTGTTGAATACAGGTCACATGGATTGCGATCACAGACTCGTGAGTACATCAACTTGAACAACTGCATCACCAACTGATTGTGTATCACGTCACCAGTCCGCAAATTGTCATCCACAGTGTTCTAGCCTCACGCATTCTTTTCAACCTACGAGCGAGTGAAGGACAATCGCATATTCACACACTGACGGATATATCTGAGTTGCAGTTTGGAGAAGGTCAAATTTCAACGGTGGAACATGGTGTTTAATCAACTTTATGTATGCTCCGATGTCTGCGGTTGAGGGCATGTTCCGTTTCTTGCGACTAGATGAAAAACAGCATCCATGACTATGGCATCGTCAAGCATGGTAGACATCAGAATATCGTGACCGGGACAGTCCATGAAGGAAATAGCTCGTTTGTTTATTGACCCATAGGTGAGGAACATTGAACGTTGAGCCCACATTTAATACTAATAAAGAAAGCAAACATGTCAAACCAGGCACTGCGCACTCACCGCAAAGAGCTGAACAAGCCGGGGACTGCTCTGAATTTCGTTCACAGACTTGATAACTGTTGCGGAGTAATGCAGGTGCGAACCGTAAGATAAAGGCGTTCCTATGAGTGTGGGGTGCAAGACTCAAAGTGAACTAGTGATACCCGGCCGGTAACTTGAGACCGACTCGTCCGAAAGTTCCTAGCGGTTACATAATAATATACCGGGGTACTCCCGCGGAAAAACGTCGCATCGACTTGACAGCCATCCTCTCGGTCACGAGTCTAGGTTCGCGTTCAGGGTGCTCGTCTGATATATCCTTGTTCCAAAATGCCCATGCCCACTTTATCATCATAAACCAGCTACTAACAACTACTTAATGCGATATTGTGTCTATTCGCACAGTCCGCACCTGCAGCACCCTCAGTGCTTCAAATTGAAGTAAGTACTTGGTGCTTAGTCCTCAGGCCTCAGCCATGGCATCCCACTCTTTCAAAGTCGAACCAAGGCCACCTGATGAAATAGTACAGCTGCTTGACAACTTCTTCACAGCAGATTTACATTCACAGTGAGCATCCTAGGATCCCTTTTCGATTATTTTTCACTAAGAAAACCCATACAGAACCGGTTTAGTATAATCTGTTAGCATGCAAGGGCTCTAATGCTACAAGAATTCTCAAGTCTTGAATCTCGATCGTCAGTTGGAGTTCCGAGCTTTCGGTAGCCAGGGTAGGATGCGGATTTGTTTCTTTGTGTAAATCTCCCTATTCTTGACGGCTGACTTTTCTGATCCGGTGTCATGCAGCTGACGCAATGTGCATTTGTTGAATGACTTGAATGAGCTTTCACGCTCCACGGGCCTGTGCTGGCAGGCGAGGAGAGATGAGATGAGAGGCTTTTCGATGGTCGCACCATAATCATCATGTGTTAAACAGATGAGGTAGTACTTGGTGGCATCAATAGACTGATGTACGTGTATCAAAAACATTTCGAGAATAACATCGGAAACAGGGCGACAAGATCGCGAGCAGTTCTTGATAGTGACGTTGAGCACGATAACATCAAAAGACTGTCGGTATCTTACTAGTATCTTCAGCGCTTACATTTGGACAAGGGGTGTATGTCAATGCTATGACCGCAGCGGTCATCTCGCTGAGAATGGCTTGATAGGTGGAACTGATCTGGGTGAGTGTCAGTACATGAAAATACACATGATTCCAGAGACAACGCTGGTCCGCAATGACAGTTCTGTATATCGGCGCATGCAGCTTATTTGTCGCGGTCGCCATGTTGTGCTGGCTTGAAAACTAATATTTATCCACAACCCAACTGTGCATCAAACAGCGCAAACTGATAGTCCTGCTCACTATCTTTTGGCATTTGCCACATCGGCGATTACTATCACTAGGATTGTAAGAATGAGAATGTACAATGTGGTGAGTTATTAGTGCCACTTTGATGAAAATATGCACTATGCTAATTCCGATATAGTGCAATCGATGGATCTTACTAGGATGCTGTTCAGGGGTGGTACTGCTCCAAGTGGCGTGCACAACTGTGCATGTGGCGACCAATTCCCGGAGTGAAGATCTAGGTGAAATGAGGAAAGCAGCGCATGGGATTAAACGGTGAACGTTGAGGGTTGTGTATTTGCAGGCTGGAGGTGAGTTGATCATGACTTTGTGGCAGTTACTTCAGTTCTAACTTCTATACTGGCTTGCAAACTTTCTGCGGCGTGAGGGCCACTCTTTCCTTCATGTGCCCTCTCATTCCTGTTTGGATGGTGTTATACATATTCTCCGCACATCAAATACGGATCTTGAATCAGGCTGTGATAATTGATGCAAATCGAGCGCGGTGCGCCCTGTATCAGTTCCGTGCTTATCTTTAAATGACATTCTTATGCTATAAATAGACAACGACCGAGGTGAAGGGCTAGAAGATGAGGTGGTGGCATGTGCTTAGGAAACGGAGGAGCAGGGGCATTGGAAGGTGTGTTTGAAGGGGCTGTACAGGCGAGTTTTCTGCTTCGTTTGGACTTTCCTTGTTTTACATTCTAACCTTATTGAACGGCCCCGGAGGTGCTGTCACGTTCAGGCCTGCGAAGCAGAGACTGCTGATGCCCATCGAAAGTCATTGAGAAGGTCATATCACACCGAGACCGTTGTAAGACAAAGTTGTACATTGGATTTTTGATTTAGCGTAAAGGGCCGTGCGTTGGCAGCTGTGTGGCCGAGGTGAGTTATTGTACAATAAAGTACCCCTGGGGTTGAGGCTCGTCGAACAGGTTTTACGACATCAGTTGGTACAGTTTGAAGAGTAATAAATTAGGCTTCATGCAGTCATAACAGTGCGTTCGAGACTTCTTTTTCCGTGTCCTCTCAGCGCTGTCTTAATCTAGAGATAGCATTGTATCTCCACGAGATGTGTCAATCACGGATGCTCAATCAGGATACATCAGGCCGCGCAAACGGATACATACAGCGCTCAATTAGTTTGTCTCTGGCTGCGCAAACTGATGCCTGTCACCACTGCACCAACATCACGTTGCAAATCAAAGATTCTGCACTCACCATTTTTGGCACTCCTATGAGACAACAGTCCGATATTGAGGCAGAGAGCAAGAAGGTGCGCATATATGTTCAAGTTCTTCAATCTCTTGCAGCGTTCAAGTGTTCTGCCCTCGCAACTGCTTGACAACCAACATCCACGCTAAGCGTCCGACGCTAAGGAGTTCATTTGAAAATGCTCACTTTCGGGGTAATCTATGCAGGAACGGATCTCATTTTGGTATTCCAAACACACGATTGTGGTATATCTAACATGAATGTCATTGTCGTACGTCCACTAAGTTCGCCTCTCACCCACACAATTCTCTACCGATATGACTATAGTCTCAGATGATCCCGCTTGGTGGCCGACCATCAATTCAAACCGTACTTTTAGCTATTTTATAGGTTCGTAGAGAGCAGTCGAATTTGATGCTGCCAATGTCTCAATCTAACCTCGACTGCGGTCTCGCAGTTGCCGCCTTCATGGGAGTAACATATGATTGGGGTGAGCATGATGATATCCAAGGACCGCAGATTTCTTACAAGTACTTTTAGCACTTACACTTGGACAAGAGGTATGTCGATGCCTACGACCAGAGTAGTCGTTTTACTGAGAATAGCTTTATAGGTGGAACTGATCTGGGTGAGTCATGTCTGGTGTCAGAGAAACACACATGACAATTCATTTGATTCCAGAGGCAACGCTGGTCCCTAATGACAGTCCTGTATCTCGGCGTATGTACCTTATTTGTCACGGCTGCCATGTTGTTCTGACTTGAAAGTATTTTAGGTGCGCTACCTTGGAATTTTATCTGCTGCGTATGTTCGGAAGGCTACACAATCGGTGCTGTGCTAATTGTCCATCTCTCATAATCAGCATGTACATGTTGGGTATGTCTCAGTACATTCGTTGTCTTTGCTTCTTCTGACCAATGGCATCCAGGGAGTGTTCCGACCATCTTGCTGTCAGACAAAGTAAGTCTTCTGCACATATCACTGCCATTCCCCTCCAATTAACTGTGGTGCCCTGTAGGAGTGGGTGTGGTTCCTTGTTAACTTATTGGTTCACTAATGACTGCCGTGCTATTCTGCCACAGATGTAAGTCCGTTTGGAATGTGCGCTACCCGAGGCTGGTCACTACTGGATCCGTCAGGCTTGATTTCGTACATGGTATGGGATTGGACAATTGTTGTGGCATCTGTAATGCTGTGGGGTAAGCTTGTCAATTGCGAGACCTCAGTGATATTGACTTGACTGAAACATGCTGCAAGTCATCATAATCACTCGGTTGTATGCCATGTATCAGCGATCCAGAAAAATCCTGATTTTCCTCATTGTCACCTTCCTGGCTGTCAACATTTTTGAAAGGGTGGTCACCGTAATGATAACGATGCGAGTTTCAGGGGGTGAGCTCAACTGTGGATGAAAATAAATGTGCATGGGGCTCATTAATGAATACCAGAGGAATTCATTCTCTCCGGCACTTATCAGTGCGAGGTTGACTATCCAGAAAATATCCTACTTCTTATGTCTGCTAGTTGGATACTCAGCACCGCGTGGGAGGTCCTCACACTATGTCTCGCAATCTGGATTGCGGTGAAACACTTCCGCGAAATGCGACAACATTCGGAAGTAGGAATTTTCGAGGACTGTTTCATAGTGTTGATGAAAACTCACATGGTTTACTTTGCGAGGTAAGCTCATGCTGTGATTGTTGTTCCTTTTTACCACTGAAGTGTCGGTCATGGTAGCTTTGTTGCTGTTTCTTGCTTCGAGCTCATTGGTGATTTCACTCCAACATTATTAACGGTATGTCAATCTTTCACTTGCCTATGCACGCTACCACAATTTGTCGTTTCTATAGGCCAATTCCCTGGGCACTCAGATTGTCTTTGGGTTTATTCAGATCTCGGGGGTCGTGCAGACGTTTGTGTTGGGACCGCGCCTGATCCTTGGTGTTCGAGAATACCACGCTAAGCTCGTTGCCGATGCCGACACAGCGACTGGTATGACCTCAATCGCTTTTCAGGAGCGTGTGCATATATCGACTGGCAGTGGTGTGTGATGGTTTGTAAAGTTACTGGCTATTTTGTACTCTAAAAGAGCAGGGAATTTTACTTTTATTCATTCCCACTTTCGTGATGGTGTTTATTTGGTATTCTGAAGTAGATTTCAAGGAGACATACAAAGTTTTCGTCGCAAAGAAGTCCAATGTGGGTTGCTCGCGCAAGCGGAATTTCTGTAAATTCAAGGTGTTAGAAATGTGCTGTGTAAAAACGATATACTGACCTCGGGATCATACATATGCCATTGTCTGATCTGTGTTATATCTACGAGTGTTTGGACTTGCTGGCAATTTTTGAGGACCGAGTTCATTCGGGTGAAAACGGACATGGTATGTTCCTCAGGCATGTCATTCGGCTTCACAGAAAATATTTTCTGTGCGATGCACTAAGGGCTGATAGATTAGCACAATATCAATGTCAATGGACGAGCAACAACATACTGCAAGGACAGCACCTTCAGGAATCCGAGTGAGATGTATAACAGCATGCCTAGAATGCCATGGTAGGACATTGTACATTATTTACAGTTCTTGACCGGTGTCCCTCCAGGCTCCAGCATTGAATTATTTACAGTTAATAACCCGGTTAATAACTCGGTTAATTAACCGCTGTCAAAAATTATTGAATTTTTCACCGCACCCTACTGCAGACCAATCCCAGTCCAAGGCAGACAGTAGAACATTGTGCTTCCAGTGATGGCTTCATGTGCTTCTGTATCCCCTGAGATACCTCAGTTTGAGACTGTCTTTGTTGATACATACGTGAAATACTTGACAGAACACAATGGCAAAAGGATGTGAAATCTACAAAGATCAAAGAAGTCGTTTTTCTTGTCTCCACACTCAGTTACCTTGACTTCCTTACTACAACTATGCTTGCAAAGCATGATAAATCACTCTATAGGGTCATCTATACTGAGGTTGCAACGTCGACTATGTCATAGGTCCATGACTCATGCATGTTGGGATGAGGTGGAAGTCAGCCTGATAGTTTTGTATACTAGTGTCTTCTTGATACCAAGCAGATGACAAACACTTGTGACAGAATGGCCACGTTGGTGTAAAACAGGAATGCAAGCTTTTAAAATTTTAGATCTAGTGATGAGATGGTGTGCGGTGGCATGCTGGAGCATGAATGAGTGCACAATTGAGCCAAAGACTTACGGGGTCCTACCTCAGGCATTTCCGAGATGCAAATTCAACTTTTGTGTTTCTGCATAATTATGCAAAGAGCTGTAAGCAAGAGAAGCCACTTGCTGCACAGCCGCTGGACGAAGTAACCCTACTCTCGGCCCTACCTCGTTTCGGGGTAGAATTCCAATCTTCAACTTACAATCTTCAGCGCTTCAGCCTCAGGCCTCAGGCCTCAACGTTCAACATTCACCTATTCAGTCCTCTGCAACCGCTCCAATCGCTCTCAAAGTTTACCTATAGCACCCACTACCCTGGTGGCCTGTTCGTGCTAGTCATACTCCGGCTGATTGTTCTGCTCGGAGCGCCTGTCAATATTTTATCACTTCTACATACTTGAATTTTTCTTCACGGTAGTAGCCCCTCTCATGCACATATGTATTCTTACAATGTCCAATACAGCATAGTTCAAAAATCATGCACACGGAACATTCCCTTCTCCGATGCTCTCAATTCTCCCAGAGCACCATACACCACAACCTGGAACACTCTCGCACGCACGTTCCAAGTTCAATATCCTCAATCAAAGCCTCAACACCGATGTCATTTTGAGGACATCTTGATCACATCCACGTAAATGTTTGCCAAGTCATGCTACGTCCCGGAGGTGATCTCTGCCACCAGCCAGCTACATCGAGAGATTCACCTCTCACTGTCTCGAACCGCCATCATGTCCACAACCCGACATCAAGCAGCTGATGCTCGACTCCTGCACTATCGCTGATGTTGATGCCTGAATGTCCATTCCTGGGTGCGTTGCTGTCACAATTTTGAACCATGTCGGCTATTTTATATTGGGTGCGCGATTTCCAGACGTTGATAGCCGGACAGGCTGTCGCTCCATAATGATGACATGGATCTTGCTGAGCTGGACTCGATCGCACGCATGCAGGAAGTGGGATGAGCCCATGAGCACTTTATTGCTGATACTACTTGGAACAAGATAACAAGATGCCAAGACGCAGTAGAAGGAGCTGAACAACAAGCAGGAGGTTATAAAAGAGAGGGGAAGTGAAACACTACGAGCAGTAGAGTCAGGACACCCATGAATGATGCTAACTCCCAGAGAAGGACCTCTGGTGATTCATACCAGAGTCCGATATAGAAATTGATGAGGAGGAGTGCACAAGCGAGCCAACAATGTACGTATGTGATGCACTGCTGCACAAAAAACCCAGGCAATTTGCCTTCAGAGGAGAGTGTCTGCATCAATATTACGTAAACATTACCATAACAAGAAAAGAATTTAAAATTGCGTACAAGCAAACCACCAGGCCCCAAATGGAAAAGACGTTCAAGTTTATACTGGTTAAGCAAGCCGGTGATAAAACCTATATGAATTGCATTAAAAAAATGAGTATACAAGCATATAGGCACGTACAAGAAGCAGCGAGATATAACCCAACTACACTAGCTGGGAGTGCATCAGTCCTCGGTTTTTGTCGACATGTCTCTTTGAGATTCGGATGGGAAAGGAGTACTCGTTAAAAAATCAATTGTTTTCACATTTCTTATATACCAGCAGGCATACTTTATCAACATATGACTAATCTTAATTAATAGAACACTTCTCGATCGAGCTTCTTCCTTAGTATCTCCGCACATCGTATCGCCGAGAATTCAGGACCACGCGTATGATGAATGTTAGCATCTGGTTCTATCGTGATCATATCGTACGGGACCCTAATAGCCGGTTCAAGCTCTAGCTGTGCCTCTCTGGCGGCGAGAGAGAATATTGCAATCGTGTCACCCTCTGAATGAGGGTCATTTCTGTTCGACGTGTAGATGAATGTTTCAAGGAAGGATGCGTTGGGTTCGGGTAGCAGAATTTCCGCTGCCAACATGGTATCCGGTATCGGTAATGCAGACAGTGTGAACAGAGGTAAGACGAGTAGGGGGCACCGGAAGCAGCGGGAAGGTATGTACAGCTGCAAGCTTTGAGGTGAGTTCCAGTAGCGTATAAAGGGTATTTCCTGTTATGACAATCAACAAGGTTTTAAGAGTAGAGGTTAGTGACACCTCGAGCTGCGATATGTCGTGGGCCACCGCCTGCTTCAAAGTCTATGTGATCGCGAATGGAATGAGGGATTTATCGAACGGATGAGATGCGATCCATGACGGATGGTGGCCAACGATTGTTCGAGCTAGAAGGTTAAGAGTCGGAGATCCTGTCGACGGTACTGGATCAAAGAACAATATTACACAGGCCTCCTGAGGCGTAGCATGAACGTGCAGCATTCCATGTTAGGCGGCGGCGGAATTGATTGGCATGGCCGTTCAAAACATCGAGCGGAGTTTAAACACCGGCCATTTTCCTGCGAGCAGCTATATTGGTGATGAAGACCTGGAGAAGCAGCGCTTCTAGAGTCACTAATGAAAACATACCTTTGAATTGGCGTCATCATTACCGACCTGCTTCCAGGTTAACATTGATGTATCACACTCCTGTATTCAAGGCGATAGCACGTCAGGAGAAGGCGGGTGTCCACGCGGGTAAATTCAAGTCGTTGACCCCAACACATTCCTTCGTGTCCGAATTGAGTTTGCTATTTGCCATGGTGGCAAGAAGGACACGCCTTTGGTCGTCTATTTTCCGATCAACAGTGTCTACAGTAGCAAGTCACGGAACACAATCTGGTCCTTCGTTCGTCTCCGCAAATAGATACAGCGTGTCTCTTCGGTTCTGGAGCTTCAAGGACGGTCCGCGCTAACGCCAAACCCTGACAACTATTGAATGTAGTTGCATACGCAAGTCTGAGTGAAAATTGTCTGTCCACGACGAGCGGTTTGGATGGAACGAAAAGTTTATGCGTGGGATGCAGTGGCTTTCAAACGTATTGAGAAGTTGGACTTCAACGAATTGACGATGCAGTGCAGCGTGATGGACGTAATTGCACCCGATCCCGGCTCTCATGCTTAATATATACATAGATAGGACGGGCCGGCCTATTCCGAAAAGCCAATCGTGCAGGCACAGAAGTCCGAGCCAGACAGAAGAAGTTCTGTCTTACGTTACGTTGCACGTAACTTCAAGTTTTCTGGAGCTTTTGCAATTGGGAGCCGAAGTGTTTTGGAAGGGTAACGGGGACCTGCGCCAGCCGGCCGTCATATGACTGTACAGCCCTACCGTCGAACATCTCGAATGCATCGCGGCATATGGTACGGTACGGGTAGTACCTGTAAGCCTACCTCAAACTATACGGTTACGGTGAACAACCCTAGCCGACTCCGATTCCTGGCTCGACTGAGTTGAAACTAGTAGACTCGTGAGTCGTCACAAGTCTAACCGCTGACCGCTATAGCTTATTTCCTTCTAACATGTTGCTTGTAGATTCATTTTGATTTAAATACGAGATGTCTTACTCTTATCCGATCATTCGATCCACACACCCGCTCTTGAATCATTTGCCACTAGACCATGTTGACAATCACCAACATTAACTATCTGGACCTACTATGCCTTACCGGTGTTACAATTGGAGTCTATCTGGTAAAGCAGGTGGTCATCAAGAAGAATCCTGCACCATACCCACCTGGTCCCCGGGGGTGGCCTCTCATTGGCAATATTTTAGATATGCCTCACATCAAGCCCTGGCTTACATTTAGTGTGTGGGGTCAGAAGTATGGTCAGTACCTCCCCTTTCCAACCTGAAAGTCATTTTCAAACCTCTTTTCTTCAGGTGATATCACGCATATCAGGGTTCTGGGTCGCCACATCATTGTGCTGAACTCTGTCAAGACCGCAATGGAAATGATGGACAAAAAAAGCATTGTGTACTCTGACCGTCCTGTTCTTCCTATGTGTGGCGAACTTGTTGGCTGGAAGGATTCTTTGCCCTTCCTTCCTTATGGTGACCCTTTTCGCCAGCAACGCAAGAAATTACATCGCATCATCGGCAGTCGTGCTGCAGTGAGCGTATACAATGAGGTTGTGGAGGTTGAGACTCGTCGATTCCTGCAGCGTGTGCTTGCAAAATCCGATCGACTGCAGGAGCATGTCCGACAGTATGCATTATTTATCCTCGCAGTGACACAATCTTAAATTTTCACTATAGCACTGTTGGCGCTATCATTCTGCGCATCTCTCATGGTTACGAAGTGAAAGAGAAAAATGATCCCTTTGTTGACCTTGCAGACCGCGTTACAAGCCATGTCTCGCAGGCCACAGCTCCCGGTGCCTTTATGGTTGATATTTTACCATTTTGTAAGCTATATTATTCTGACGTTTTCATCGACTTTTGATGACCTGATAATTCTAGTGGCAAAGGTCCCCGCGTGGTTCCCCGGGGCTGGCTTCAAGCGCATAGCACGTGAATGGCATGAGACCCTCGAAGAGATGGTTTCTGCACCCCACAAGCTCGTCAAGGACCAGATGGTGACCAATTTGCAGTATTGTAATTATACATAGAAGTTCAATTTTTACAGGTTGCTGGCATCGCCCCTGTGTCTTTTACCTCGAATCTTTTGGAAGGCGGCGATCTGTCTGCGGAGGAGGAACACGTCGTGAAATGGTCTGCTTTTTCCATAAACGTTGGTGGTACCGACACGGTTCGTCCTTCTCTACAACATCTTCTGAGAGTACCAAACCTATTTCCTCAGAGTGTTTCCGCAATATACTCGCTTTTTCTAGCTATGACACTTTTCCCTGATGTGCAGAAGAAAGCTCAGGCTGAAATAGATGCGGTTGTTGGTCCTGACCGTCTTCCCTCCTTCGCCGATCGCGACTCCCTCCCTTATACTGAGGCTCTTGTCAAAGAAGTCCTGCGCTGGAACGTTATCCTTTCCACTGGTATGTGAATATCGATCATAACATTATTTATTTACCGACTGGCAATGGGTATCTCAATGACAGGTTTTCCTCACTGTGTGGCTGAAGATGATATCCATAACGGGTACTATATTCCAAAAGGCTCCTTAGTACTACCTAACATTTGGTTAGTGCTCCTCTTCGATTGATGAACAACAATACTCATAATTGCGACAGGTTGATGCTCAACGATCCACAGACATATACTAACCCCTCTCAATTCAATCCTGAACGCTTCTTGGCTAAGGATGGAAATGACCCTGAGATGGATCCTCGTACGGTGTGTTTTGGCTTCGGTAGACGGTAAGCACGAAATTGATTCTGAATCTGATTGAAAAGCTAACTTTCTGCTCCGCAGTATTTGCCCAGGTATATCCAACTCGCATCAATTAACTAACAATATTCTGACATCTACTTTCTTTTGATGTACAGGCCTCCACCTTGCTGATGCTTCCGTTTGGATATCTGCTGCAATGTCACTAGCCGTATTCGATATCTCCAAGGTTGTTGAGAATGGTGTTGAGATCACCCCCGAGGTTGAACCCTTACCAGGTACGGTCAGGTATGTCGCACATCTTGTCGTGTCTGGGGCAGGTCTGGATTGACACGCTTCAAGCCATCCCAAACCGTTCAGGTGTTCCATCAAGCCTCGCTCTGCAACTGCCCTCGAGCTTATTGGACAAGATGCTAACTACTAAGCTCACGATGGTGATACCGGAGAAATACACGTGAATATGAATACTTGGCATGCGTCGTAATTTGTATGTTACACTCAAGAGTTGTGCAATATGATTTTTTAGAGTTCGCACCGGAAATCATTTGCTTCTGCGGAACTTTTGTGAGGACGAACGAGTCTATGTCATATACCAGCCGGTATTAGCATGGAGTACTGATTATGTGGCATTCTAGGAACGTTTATATGAGAGGAGAGTTGACTTTGAGTGAACTTAGGAATCGAGAGACGAGGAAACGTTTTCTTAATGCGAGCTCTTACGACGCGAGGAGTGGGTATGAATCACATCCGGGTCGTGGGCTGCCCGTTCCAGGTCTAGATGTTCTGCACCGGCTATGATGTCTGTTACGTCCGCTCCCGGGGCGAATAGGGGCTGGTGCGAGGATAACAGGGAGCTAAGTGTCATTCAAAATTTGCTGTGCTATGGCACACCCACCTGGGTATAATGCATACAGATAATTATAACACTGTCCTGGCGTCTATCGTGAGTGGGACTCCAGATCAATTGGCTCGGCTAACATCTCTCACCTGCTGTCTTTGCGAGTCGCTAGGTCGCAGTCTGATGCTCCAAGAAACAGAAACGCGAAATGATATTGCTGTTACCATTGTTCTACAAGAGTATTGTGTCTACGACCGAGGCAGATATAGTTCTGAGCAGTTTGGGCGAAGGCACGCAGCGCCTCCAGGTCCAGAGCTGCGAGGGTGGGAGGGAAAAGGAAATCATCGCGGATCTCCTGAGTCAGGGAATGTGTGCAGTCTGGACCACTGGAGGGGAAGAGCGGTGAGCGAGATCGAGTGTTTCGAATGAGATTTCGCGTGTTTGAAAAGGGAGCGGCGGGTGGGGGAAAAGAAGGAGCACGTCGTTGAAGACGACTGATACGAGAGGAGGCGTTGTCGCAGTACGAAGGCTTTGTAGCGCTGTGTGGGCGGGCCGCCGCCGCCGCCGCCGCCACCGAAGTTACTATTACCAAACCTGAATTTGAAATTATCTCACAACTCAGTCCTACACCAGTACTTGGTACACACTCAGGCTGCCTCTTCAGGTACCTGACACAGATGTGGAATATACTCCATTTCGAACTCTCAGTTCACCGGCCGCATCAGTATCGCAGGAGGAACGAAGCAAGCGTAGGCAAGAGAAGTTCGACGGCCTCGTCACATGGTATCTTGATGCTATCGTACAATCCTTTCCGGTCTTATTTCAGAACTCTCTTCTTCTCTTTGGGATTGCTCTTGGCACCAATTTGTGGTACGAGCAGGCGAGCATCGCCTGGGTCGTCATCGGAATGACGGTCTTCGGATTTCTGTTTCATTCCCTGACTGTGATGGCGTGTTTGGTATCTCCCGCTTGTCCATTTCAGACACCGGTATCAACGTTATTACACGTGTTGCGCATCGACAGTATGATCATTTTTCCGAATTCTGGTGGTCGCCCCGGTCTGAATCAACATTGCAGGTGCTCTGAACCTGGGATTCAAAGGAGCTTTCTGTTATGTCCAGTGGTTCATGACGTCACTGCAAGGTGAGTTATGTCTTCTTTCATGTGCACAGGTTTTGATCGTTTCATGTCAGGAGTGCTGGGACGACTGCTTAGTATTATCAGATCGGGATGGACCCGATTGTCTGAAGTATTTAGAGGTGACGGTCTTATCTACTATTACAAAGATACTTGGAGCTCATTCGCTCCCTAGGCCCTGTGCATGCGGTAGGTATATTCACACGCCGATCTCTTCAGCAGTTAATCACTAGGCTTCATAACCGGCTGTGTTCTTTGGTTCTGCGTTCTTCAACAAAGGTGGTAAACTCAGAGGCACAACCACTCGGCCAGGATCTGGATGTTTTGGCTGAGAATAATAACATCCTTAACCTCGACCTCCCTGACATACCCACCAGCGATCTCGAAGCGCCTAGTGTCAAGTGGCTACTCGAGACGTCTACGGATCCTGAAGTATTTCTCGCTGCTGCCCGTCTTGTCCCGCAGGTCGAATGGCCCCTGGATGTTGATGTTTCAGACATGCTGCATCAACTATTTGATATTCTCAGGAGCTGCGTCGACATTCAAGGATACATCATACCATCATTGAAGGAGAAGGCCTCGGCATGTGCAATGGCTCTGATTCATTTATACTATGGATGTGTTCTTCAGGCATATCCTGACGATGGCGATTTTATTGTCCACGGGAGACCAGACTTTGATGTGCTTCTTGACATTTTCCCAGGCATGTACACAGCGGACCGGACGGTGTGTAGCACGACTATGAACTTTTGTCAACCAGATGGCAATACGTGGCATATTTCTTGGTCAGAGGTTTGCCCTGACTCCGTCCCTGAGTGGCTGTCACATGTTCTTCCTTATCACTTTGTTACTGGGCGAGTGAATGAAGACATAGAAAACCTCGCGATAAAAGTGATGTCAAAATTGCTATCATCCCCATCTCCATCCTCCCTGTCAGATCAGATTCTAGCCAATTGCATTATTCTTGCTTGCGTCATGGTCGGGGCTCAGGTTGACAAGAAGGCCATTGTTCGGATTGATAAAAGGTGCCATCGGCTCATTTTGTAGTCTATCTGCCATGATTAACAAAGAGATCGTGTAGCTCTGCTCTGCCTCTACTCAGCGAGTCTCTTTTGGTGCAGTTCCAAAAGGCTCTCTGGGCATGGGATGGAGGCGAGCTCGACAATGATAGGACAGGAGTCGTACGCCGAACATGGAAGCTGCTTGATATTATTTGTCGAATCGTCGAGCTTGCTAGATATTCATATCGTCCTTTATTCCACACCATGCGGAACCTGGACGTATGCAAGAAGATTTATTCACGAGCGAGATCATCCGAACAAAACGATGCCTCGGCTTTGTTGGCAGCTCTGCGAAATGCACTGCACTTCACGCTTGCTGCTGCCAGCATTTCTCGGGACCCTGCCCAGGTATGGAATCGGCTTTTTGGGGAAGCCCTATCCTACTCGCCAGAGGATATCGACTGGATAGTGGACTACTTTGACTTCATATATTACGACGACCACGAAGCGGCATATGACGTCCTTTTGCTACTGGGTAGTATGGGGGTGTGCTGCAGCCCTGCTAAACAACATCTGTTCATCGAGAGGCTCATCGCCTGTATGGATAGTAATATGCCTCTCCATTTACGCCATGCTGCTCTTCGCGCTGCTCACAGTGCCCAAGAACAAATTGCCTCAATCGATGCCATCGATGATGCGAGGCTACGGGACACAGTTTTGACCAAGCTCTCCCCTGCTATTTTATCCGTGCTTTGTCCGCACCCAGTTACAACACCCACCAATGATGATCTCAACCTCTTTTCCAATTATGACCGCGACTTGTGCTATCTCGAACTGGTCTGTGCCCTCGCGAGGAATCCCGACTGGCACCCCCATTTGTCTGGGGATTGCCATATTGATCGGTGCATCAGCATGATTCCAAGGTACTGCAATTCCGAATCACCCACACAGCATGCCTTTTACATAGCTTGTATCCTCCTCCAAATCATACCTGAACAGACATCGATCACAACGCTCGATTCTGTTGCAAAGCAGCAGTGGCGGGACGTGATGAGAAGCGCATGGGATGATCCTCCATATACCATTAACAACGCGTGCTGTTTCAAGCCCCTTCTTGTCCTTGTGGATGGCACAAAGAAGTATATGCAGATTGCTTCGAAATCTGATCTCGACCAGCTCATTAGAAATGTGGATGAGTTTGTCGAAACGTTGGAGCGGAACATGCAAGAGGAGATGGGACTGGAGATACAAGATTCAGAGCAGGTAGAGGGGATCATCATTGCTGCGAAGGAGTTGAGGACTGCAGCCAGCAAGATGTTGGAGAGATTTGGTCGGTAATTGTTAGTTCTCTAACCATGACTTGCATGCTGCGTTAGAGTCTTGGAATAGAGTAAGTTACGGGCAGTATATGCACGGAAGTGGGGAGTCTCAATGAAATCAATACTGAACCATCAGCCATCTCTGACTTGGTAGATGCTTGCAAAGCGTGAGGAACAATGGGCATGAGATGCAAATATCTGGGAAACCGGCATCTAAATGTCGACTGGGAAGGGAAGTTGTTCCACGGGGACAACATTAGACAAGGTTCTGCGCTCAGCTGCCCCGGTCACATCCATTCGTCGATATGCGCACGAAGACAAAGATGGGGTGACAGATCACAATCGCCTGTTTTTGGCAGCGGCCGTTACAATTAACCAAGTCGTAGCCCCAATTTAAAAGTTCGAGCACTAGTAATTGGTAGTATTATGGTGTATGTACATCCCAACTAGACCACATGGCACTGATGAGCCATTATTATTCACGATTAACACAACTCTCGGAGACACATTAAATTAGCAGAATAAGTGTTCCCAAATCAGAGATAGTATCTGTCACCTGTAAAAGGGTTCATGGCAAGCTGTGATCATATGCGTTTTCTTACCGATTTGACCCATGCCAGGCTCTACGATCCAGACTCTCCTCCCGTCCCCTTCGCTCTGGCCCTCGCCTTTTTCATTGTAATGTTCAAGCCATGCTTCACGGAGACCTTCATCGACGGCACCAGTCACAATCTTGACCTCCGGAAAGGCCCGCTGAAGTACAGTGACACCACCAGTGCGGGCAATGAGGAAAGTTACAAAGATGATATGGTCTTGCTGGACTCCATGATCTAATAGTGTCCGAATCGCCATGAATGCTGAGGCAGCGGTGCCTATTTGAGCATCTAGCAAAAATACCCATGCATCGACGGCTAGATGTCGTTCTCGCAGGCATTTGGGAAGCATTACATGTAGAAGTAGTGGCTCTCCAGTATTAGCGTCGGATTGCACCAGAAGGGAGCCAATTGCAACGTCACTAAGAACGCGCTGCAATCCCTTCGTTAGAGGTCCACCTCTGGACCGATTGATTAGTGCAGAAATTGGTTGAACCACTGAAACGTACGAGCGTATGATGGAGACACCGCAGATGTTCTAGACAGCTCTTAAGCCAGACACTCAAATTCTCAGCGAAATGATCTACCTTGACGTCAAGTTCCTTGCCGGTGCAATCTAGTCCTATTGGTGTCGTGACCGTCTTAGGTCTGTGAGGAAGATGTTCCATCGCTTTCTCGATCAAGAATGTTGCCAGTCGGTCTACGAAGAATATAAAGTCCTGGCGGTTCGATGCCTCATCACGAAGAATGGTATATATACCCTTCACCCAGAAGCATAAGCAACGACTCTCATTGAGGGTGGGGGACAGACCTTTAACTGTGGTGTTTGCGGGAGCACTATAAGGTTCTTGGACACCGGGTTACCGTCTGACGTACTCAAGCAACACCCAACTGATTGAGAAACCATGTGTTTCCGAAAGTGTCTCGCGCGTTCTGTCATTTGACGTCGAATGTGGGTCGTTATCAAATCAATGGCAACAGCGTTGTTTGACCCCGGAACGACCTGAAAACAATGGTACGTCGAAACAATTGAAACACACGTCTACTCACAATGTCTGCATGGCGAGCGGTTGGCAAAACGAAGTTATCAAACGCGGGCTGACATAGCGAAGATATCTAGGCGTGAGCGATGGTTACCATGACACATAATCCTGGCAGAGAAGAATACGTACTGCTCGATGACCCCATCAACACTTCTTCCACGTTCCTTGACGTCCGTTGTATTCTCCGGGCGAGCATCCAATCTGAGTCACATTGCACAAACACCTGTTTAACGGTGAGACACTATACAACTGGCTGAATGATGGGGTACCTTGAGTCATATAAAGAGCGTAAGTCTGGATGGTGCAAAGCCAATTATACCTTCCGCTGAAACATGTGTTTGGCATCAGCATCCATGGATCGTGACAGGAAGGAGTCAGACACCGACTTATTATGATAGCTGCACCATACAAATACTTCGCTTCGCCTAACCGCTGATGTTCGGCAAACGAGTAAACGGGAATATTGGTCTGTCGACACGCCTTCAAGTCCGCGAGGCACTAGGAAAGATTCGGTAAAGAATTTAGACATAAATGAACGTACGGACAGCAGCAAACATAGGCATGTCAATGGCATCCGGGTGGTCAAAGTCGAATCGATTCGCATGCGCCAGCGCAACCTCTTCTGCGGTATGTCGCTTGTAAAAGCTGTCCTAAGCAGTGGACACTGTCACCTGTGAACTCTCTTGATATTTTTTGTATTACTGACCTGGGAGAGGATAACGACAGTCGGTACTGAGCCCAATGAACGAACGATTTGCTGAGCAACATGTGTCTGCCATCGCCTAATTCATCTTTCCGAACTTCTCTCGGCTTGCATTCTCACCTTCCCACTTGCCGATCCACCTGGATCCATTTGTCAGGTTGACAAAATGCAAGACTGCACAATACGTAGTCACACTCACCAGCTATGCCGATCACGAACGCGTCGGAAATGGGTAGGCCGTTTTCCCCGTACCTGTCAGTGACACGTATGTGAGGCATTGAACGACAACAAAAAGCCAGTACGAAAAGTTACCAAGGAGGTCTTCCGTGAGACTTCAAGAGGATGTTCTTCTTCGACTGGTGCGATTCCAAAGAGTGTTGACTTTCGTCATCGAAAAACTGATGAGAGTAATCTTCTGCAAGCATCGCAGTGCACGGGACAAGTTGCAAGATAATCGATCGACGGGAACCAGAAGGCAGGGAACTGGGTGTATTAAGGTGTTCGGCTATGATGGGCCAGTCTACAGAACGTGATGCATCTGAATCTG